AATATATATATATATATATATATATATATATATATATATATATATATATATATATATATATATATATATATATATAATCATATGAGAACCCATCTTTAGGTAGGAACATAAGAACTAATCTAAGCCGTTTATTTTAATTAATCTACGGTGTGTGTTTTATTATTGTTAAAATTAAGTTTTACGGTGGATTTGGGTTATATTTGGGCGGGTAGGGGTAGTATGGTCAGGTCCATTGCGTGTTGAGGAGTTTTTTATTTTTATCGCTGAGATTTCGCTATCGCACTATTGCTGGAGTTCTCCGAGAAGGTCGAAGCTCTCCAGAGTCCTTCACAGCGTCGTCTTCATCGATTGGAGTGTCGTCTGAGATGGCCGGCGCCGATGCTCGGAATCCTAAGCGCCCATGGCCGGCGGCGAGGTCGGCCGCTGCTCCAGGTCGGTTTTTGCACTTTTTTTTTTTTTTAATTTCGGATTCCTGTGCCTTTGTATGTATTCTTTTGATATATGAGTTGTGTCTTTGTTTGCATTTTTTTTCTTCACATGTCAGTGTGTAGCTTGACAGTGTGGCTTCTTTGTCATTTGATTTTGGTGTTGTTGGTTTGCCGGTGGGGATGTTCTTTTTTTTTTTTTTTTTTTTTTTTTTTTTTTTTTTTTTTTGGGTGGTGGCTGTGGGGCGTTGCAGTGTTGGGTTTTGCAGTGGAGGGTGGGTCTTGGTGGGGGTTTTGCTTATACTGGTGGGTTTTGGTGGGGCTGTGACGCCGCCCTTTGTCTTTCAGGGGGAGTTTGGTTTTGGGAGGGGTGGGGGGAATACTGGTGGGGTGAGGTGCGGTGGCACCTGGTTTTTTTTTTTTTTTTTTTTTTTTTTTTTTTTTTTTTTTTTTTTTTTTTGGTGTTTGTGTGCATCACTCCCGGATTCAGCAATAGCATTATAAATTCCATCAGTAACTATATTGAGGATGCATACCATTCATCTAGTCCATTCAATCACTATCCCATTTAGATGAACAAACACCATTCATGATTCATTGCATGTTGTTGTGAAAAGAGAATGATGAAGAAAACAACTGTTAACTAAAACCATCAAATATAGATTGGTATATGCACTCCAGTAATAAGCATTTAAAGCTTTTATTTCACAAACTCTACCTAAAGTTTGGAACACAACATGAAAATGACAGGGGTAGGGGGTACAATAGAAACTACCAGTTCCAAAGCTAAAGAAAACAGAAGAAAAATGCAAGCAAGCAAACATAATATTTAATACAGTAGCATAAAGCTCCAATAAGCCTAGCTATTATGATATAATAGGGGAATGATGATTGTTTACTACTTTGCCTATTCAATTTTACTTGCAATCCTGTTCAAAACAACATATTAAATTTGTTAATGTTCCTAAGTTTTCCTATTTAATTGTTTTTTTTAATTTCATGAGTCCTAGTGATTCATTTGATTAGTTCTTGAATTTTAATTTAATTATCTTGCACTTGAGAGTTGATTCTTATCTTTGATCTACATTTTTAGCATTTTAAACTGTTAATTTAATTATTTTATCCTACTTTGGCATTTGATTCTAGTACTTTAAATTATCAAGTCAACTATTTTTATGTTAAGTTTAGTCAATTTTTTCTTGCATTTTTATTGTTTTTTGGATTAGTTTTTGCTTTTTCTTTATTGCGTATTGTTATGTACTATTTTCTTTTATTGTTTAGTTGTTATTTGTGGGGACCTCAATGTGTGATTTTGGTTGTCTTTGGTGGGGTATACGGTGTGTGTGGTAGGGTGTGTGTGTGTATTGGTTGTGTGCTGGTAGGTTGTGTTTATGTGTTTTTTTGGTGTGTGTATTTTAGTACTACTGTGGGTGCCCTTGTGGTGTATTGGAGTTTGGCTGCTGCCTATGTGTGTAGTTGTGGTCTCTGTCGTGTGGATTTGGAGTAATATTGGATGGAATTTGGTCTATTAGAATATTTGTACTTGGTGTGTGTAGTGGTGGGTGTAATGGTAATGGATTTTGTCAATATGCCAGTGTGTTCTTACTTTGTTCTTACTTTGGGCTGTTTCTAGTTGTTATGGTTGGAAGCTAATTATTTTTTTCATGTGCAGTTCATTTTCCCCATTCTTCAGAGTGAGCACTGTTATGTTATTAGTGTTGACACGGTCCGGAAACGGATTGACATAATCGACAATTCGTCGGCTAGTGTGACTAATGGGAGAAAGTACGGGGCTACACCTGATGTGCTGGTATGTTATTGAATTCCCACTACGTTAAGTTTTGGTTATGTTCTTCTGCTATTCGTTGCTGGCGATATTGTGTTATACTGTCTCCGACTGCTGTGTATACGCACACGTTTGCCGATTGGGCACACAACAGGAGAGTAAGGTGCACACGGTGTGCGCCTTAGATGTGTTTCTGTGGGGTTTACATTGTTTGGCACACACAGATACTCTAATATGCTCACGCTGCTGTTTAATGGGTTTCATTTCCCATCATTTGTGTCCTTAGTCATGCTGTTTGTTGTGGCTTTGTAACGCTGTTGTGTGCTTTGACAGAAAGATTTTTTGTCTGTGTTCCTCGATGACATGGTTGACGAACGGTTTGGGTTTGTTGTACGAAGACTTATCCCAAGGAGAATGCAGATGCGTTGGCGGGATATGCATAACAAAGTGGATTGTGGAGTCTTTGCTATGCGGCACATGGAGTGTTTCTTGGGGTAGCCCGTTAATCCATGGGATTGTGGTCTGCGTAAGGGTGATAGTAGGGGCCTTGATTTATTGAGGGCAAGTTATATGCGTCAAATTCTGACGGCTGCGTTAAACATACACCATTCCAAAAAACATTCGCAATGCAGTTGAATATCGTGGAGCTAGTTCATTAGCTATTAAGCTTTCTTTGTTTGGTTTTAGATTTGTATTTAGATTATGGTATTAAGGAGCTTTTTTTTATTATTATTCTTTTGGGACATTTTTACCGAATAAAAGGGTGTTAGAATTCGCAATGTTTGGTAGTTAAGATGTTGTATGTTTAAACAGGTGCTCAGTCTCCAATACCTATGTGCTCAGTCTGTGCTCGTGCACCCACGCTGCTCACTATGTCCTCACATAGGCACTCCCTGTTATTGTTGGCACTTCGCGCGCAGCGCAGGTGCACACAGGATCACTGGGAGTGGCACACTCAGTTTGGTACATGTGCATACCGTCCAGTACAATCTCGTTTTTTCCAAAGCAACTTCTAAAACAGTTCGGGTTTAATCACTTCATGCCGTCACGTGTATGAGTATATTTAACCAATTTGGTACACGCTTATTCGAATACAATTTGAGTAATAGAGATTGAGGATAAAAATAAAGTGTAAAAGTTATGTATGGCACACTGCTGGTCTCAGGACACACTGTTCTTGTTGGCACTTCGATCGTAGCGCAGGTGCACACATGATCTCTGTATGTGGCACACTCTGTTTGTTACATGTGCACACTGTCCACTACAATCCCGTTTTTTCCAAAGCAACTTCTAAGACAGTTTGGTTTTATTCAATTCATGCCGACACATGTATGATTATATTTAACCAATTCGGTACACGTTTATTCGTACACAATTTGCGTAATAGAGATTGAGGATAAAAATGAAGTGTAAAAGTTCTGTATGGCACAGTGCTGGTCTCGGGTGCTCTTTTGTTTTCTGGCTTTCAATCGATAGTTTACTCCAGGTTCTATCTCAATCCTGATTATAGGGTTCGTGTATGAATAATCCTCTAGCAACATTATTACTCAGGGATAAGGTCATTGGGGTGTAGGGCGCGGGGGTAGAAAGCTGCGGGAGTGTGGTGGCACACTTTGTTTTGTACAGGTACACCTTGGCTTTGTTCGCACTTTCATCGTAGCGTAGGTGCACATACGGCCTTGTTTTATGATTTTTGGGTCGAATCAACAAGCGAGGCACACCCTGTTTGTTACAGGTGCACACAGCCCAGTACAATCTCTTTTTTTCAAAATAAACTTCTAGGACCTATTAGATCTAATGATTTCAGGCTGACACGTATGCGTCTATATTAAATCTATTTTACAAGCATTATTCGTTCACACATTGACTAATGAAGAACGAGCGGGAAAATGTACTGTCAAAGCTCTGGATGGCACACAATACTGGTCACAGGTGCTCTTTTATTTTATTGTTTTCAATCGATACATTACTCTAGTTTTTATCTCAATCCTTATTTTTGCATTTGCGTATGAATAATCTACTTCCAGCCTCATTTCTAAGTGTGGTATGTACAGGTGCATTCTGGCCTATTTGGCACATTCACTCGTGCACAGGTACACCTACGGTCATCATGGCTACTGGTGTTAGTGGTTGAAAACTAGAACCAACAATGCCACAGCCTTGTGATGAGGATGTGTGCACTTACGGTTGGATAGTGGGTGCACAACCATAGATACTCACGCCTGTCTGTGCACTTCAGCCTCGTCGGGTGTGCCTTTTTGGCTGAAATGGTCTGAGTTCATTAGGTGTGGCACCCTCTGTTTAATACAGGTGCACACTGACCACTACAAACACTTTTTCTCAAAATTAACTTCCAAGGCAGTTGGGTTTTATTAAATCCATGTTGGCACGTATATGATATATGTGAAAACACTATGGTAAACAATTATTCCAATACAAATAGACTAATAAAGAATTTTAAATAATCTAAAGTGCAGAAACTCTGAATGACACACACTGTTAGCCTGAGATGCTCCGTAGCAACGCATAAGGTGTTTCTGTTCGGCCCGTTTGTCGTACCCTGTTTGATGGTCTTCGGTCGTAGCTCGCAGTTCCACTATCGTGGTGTCCGTATTTGTTGCAGGTCCAACACTTCCTTACATCCATTGCAGCTTGTTTTGATGCAATCTCCTTTAATGATTTCAATTGCTTCCCTGACCCTTTGTTCTTTGCAATGGGGGGGGGGGGGGGGGGGGGGGTGAACCACGATGTTCGGTGTCGTGGTTGACTCATAGAAACTACGAATGGTATCACTCTTCCTTGCGTAACAAGTGGGTATGGCGCTCCTCAATTGCGTGTACCTCATAACCGCCCAGTATTCTCTTGAATATTATTCGAGTGTTGCACCCCACTCTATTTGTGACACGTCGCCTTTTCGTTTGGGCATTGTGTTCGGCCGATTCCACACCTACCCCGTCCCCTTCACTGGTAGAGAGTTTGAACCCAGCACGTGAACACAACACATACTTCCACATTATTTGCCCTTGCCGGTCATTTTTCTGGGAAGCGCGCCGCACATCGAACCCAGTAGTACTGGCGTAAGTTGTGTAGAACTCAATTCCTCCTTCCAACGTAGGGAACACTTGTCCCACGCATGGCTTCTTGGCTTGTTCACACTCTGGAGTCCAGTACTTCGTTGATCCAGGAGAAATATTCATCAAACAGCCGATTGACCCCATTGGTGTGTCGTTTTCACCTGTTTAGGATTGCAATTTCATTAGTCCAGTAAGTAGGTAAGTACTGCGGAGGTAAGTACTACGGCATCCAGTTTATAGCCAATGTGCACATTTAGCACAACACATGTGCACACTCGCCCATTATAGCCAATGTGCACTACCCCGCCCCACATGTGCACGTACACCCTTTATTGCCAATGTGCACTACCTCGTCAATTTGGGGGCACATAGCTATAACGTCCTAGATATGTGTGTGCACATTTGCATCATAGGGTGTGCCTTGGTGGATGGCGAACCCAGTTTGGGGGGGCCTGAACCGTACAAGTTCCCCTGCGTTTCCCATAGTTCTATGGGACTCAATTTCATGTCGCAGTGCATGCTTAAACACTCCATCACCATTCCCATCAAATTTGAATTGCAAACACACAACATGCTTACGAATTCATAGGGTATATTTCACTTACGTTCATCGTATGCTCTTGCCATCGTTCTAGCCGGAGAGTAAAACTTCGTCCACCGCTTTGGATGCTTTTGGATGCGCACACATTCGGTTGCTGATCGGAGGCGCTTGTCGGACAGTCTTCTGCACCGGAGTTGTCGTTCGCGGATGTGGAGAGGAATTAGAATTCTTCATAATCTAGTCTCCTATATTCTTGGACTGAATTTATTTATAATATTAGTTATTATTCCAGGGGTGTTGAAAATTACCCTAGTATCCCTAGTAATTAGTTTCATTAATGGGCTACTTATTAATGATGAATTACTCTAAACCATTGAATATATGAGATTCTAAGGTTAGGATTAGTTCTTATGTTCTTACCTAACAATGGTTCCTACTTGAATCCCTCCCTATATATATATATATATATATATATATATATATATATATATATATATATATATATATATATATATGCAGTACATGAATATTGCGGTAAAATTATAAATTTTAATTATGGTAGATTAATTAAAATTACGGTCAAAATATACACTAATTATTTACGGTAATATTATTATGCTAATATTACACTCACACGGCCATTATATATTTACACCAATAATAACATTAAGGTGCGTGCGAATGTATGAAGTGCCAAATGGAAGGGAAGCGACAGTATCAAATTAAATGCAAGGAATATGTATTTCACGACAAGGATGTAAACGTGTCGATTTTTCATAATGTATTATTAATTTTGTTAGTGTGTTTGATGATAATGTTTTTTGCATATCTATTTTCCATAATCGTGCTTTTATTCTAATCTACTGCCTTGAAATCTCTATTTTTTAAGATTCTAATTTTTTGTTTTAAATTTACAGGGAAGTTATTTGTACGGACATCTGTCCAAAAGAGCCAATTTGAAAATATTCATAATGCGTTTGCAGCTATTAAGGAAAGCAACAGTATCAAATGCAATGAATGTGTATTTCACAACAAGCAGGTAAGCTGTTGATTTTTCATACTGTATTATTATTTTTGTTAGTATGTTTGATGATAATGTTTTTTGCATATCTATTTTTCATAATCGTTCTTTTATTCGAATCTACTGCCTTGAAATCTCTATTTTGTTAAGATTCTAAGTTTTGATTTTAAATTTACAGGGAAGTTATTTGTACGGACATCTGTCGGAAAGAGCCAATTTGATAATATTCATAATGCGTTTGGAGTTATGAAGGGAAGCAACAGTATCAAATGCAAGCTAAGGAATGTGTAATTCAGGATAAGGAGGTAAGCCTTCGATTTTTCATACTGTATTATTATTTTTGTTATTGTGTTTGATGATAATATTTTTTGCATATCTATTTTTCATAATCGTTCTTTTATTCTAATCTACTGCCTTGAAATCTCTATTTTTTTAAGATTCTAATTTTTGGTTTTAAATTTAAAAGAAAGTTATTTGTACGGTCATTTGTCGGAAAGAGCCATTTTGATAATCTTCATAATGTGTTTGCAGTTATGAAGATTATTAACGACTGTGTTTTAATTGATACTCACTGTCCTCAGCTTGTGGATGCACCAGAAAATGAACAACAAGATATTTATTATCTCAACCGGAAGTTGATCATGTACTATTGATAACAATTATTTGGCTTAAGATAATTGACAGTAGTTAGAATAATAAAACCAACAATTTTATTTTTACTGTTATTGTTATTGTAATAGGAGTTTGTGTCTGACGACGAAGTGGTAAGCGCAATTTGTCACTAAGATTCTGCCAAAGAATTCACTGAAATAGGGAGTGGCGTTGTGAAAGAAGTCTGTTAGATGAATTTTCATCCATACAAAACTCTAAGAAGACAAAGGATGCTATTATCGAAACCAAAAAAAAAAAAATTCCTAATTCCTGTGTTTGATTGTAAACAATTTGAATACTTAAAATATAAAATTCAATACATGAAATACTAAAAATTTAACAGATCTATTACAGTTACTGAAAATATAAAAATTATAGCTATAAAATGTATTAAATTAATAAAAATGTAAAATGAAGTTCACAATTCAATGTTTAGCCGAAATGGAAATAAATAATTGACCGAGAATAAAAATGGTATAGAATTTAGGCCAATTAAAATAGAAAATGACTATTAATAATTGATTGATAATGAAAAATGCTTCCAAACTGACTCAGTACATGGAAAGAATATGAATATTAATCTTGGTTATATATTTTATAAAATGTAGAGTTACTGAAAATATTAAAAAAAATGTGTATATATATGTTACAGGAAATATAGTTAGGTAAAGATATATATTTAAAAATGAAAAATGGAATAGAATCATTTAGTATCCACAATTTATAAAGAAAATTGTGTAATTAAAGAGGGAAAAAGTTTTGTAATACGAGATGGAAATATAAGGTTCCGAAATGGAAAGAATATTAATCGAGATGTAAATTAATAATTTTTACGCCAAATATTATTTTATACTAAGAATATAAGGATTGTGTAATTATAAGGTTTAGCCAAGATGGAACGAATATTAATCTCGGTTATATATTTTATAAAATGTAAAGCTACTGGAAATATATATATAGAAAAATGTTATTAATAATTAACTAATTAATTAATATTTATTAAAATAAATAATTGACTGAGAATAAAAATAGCACGGAATTTAGGCCAATTGAAATAGGAAATGACTATTGATAATTGATTGGTAATGAAAAATGTTTCCAAACTGACTAAGTACATGGAAAGAATATTAATCTCAATTATATATTTTATAAAATGTAGAGTTACAGGAAATATATATAAAAAAAAAAAACTGTATATATATGTTACTGGAAATATAGTTATGTAAAGATATATATTTAAAAATGAAAAATGGAATAGAATCGTTTAGTATCCACAATTTATAAGGGAAATTTTGTAATTAAAGATGGAAAAGGTTTTGCAATATGAGATGAAAATATAAGGTTTAGCCGAAATGGAAAGAATATTAATCAAGATGGAAATTAATAATTTTTACACCAAATGTTATTTTATACTAAGAATATAAGAATTTAATTATTAAGTTTAGACGAGATCGAAAGAATATTAATCTCAGTTATATATTTTATAAAATGTAAAGTTACTGAAAATAAAAAAAAAAAAAACTGTATATATATGTTACTGTAAATACAAATACGACATAGTTTTGGGGATGACTACTTTTTAGACAATGAGATTTAGGGGTGTGCAAACTTCAGTGAAAGTTCGGTTAACCGATCAAACCAAAACATTTCTGTTAACTGTTCTGTAACTGAAAAACTTCAGTTCAATTAATGGTTAAAGAATTTGTAAAATATCGGTTAACGATTAATTCAGTTCGAAACTATCGGTTAACCCAATTAACAAAACGATTAACCAAAATTTAAATGATATATATATATATATATATATATATAGAGAGAGAGAGAGAGAGAGAGAGATGTAAATGAGGACTGTGCGGACAAGTGTAGCCGTGTGTTATTAGTCTCTGTGTTTGCGCGCGCGTGTATGGATGTTTGAATTTTATAATTTTCGCTTTTACGTTTGTAATGTTGTTATGGTATTGTGTTTGCATATTTTGTTATGGACTTATTATTATAAGTATTATTTTAATTGAATTTATTATTATATGTATTATTTTAAAAATTTAAAACTTTAGTTTAAAAATCTTCTGTTAATCCGTTAATTGAACGGTAATACAAACTTCGGTTCAGTTAACGGTTAAAACTTTAAAACTTAAGTTCAAACGTTTTGGTTAACCGATTATACCCCTACCGAGGGCTAGATAGAAATGAAAATGCTTTGCAGAATAAGAGACGAGCGAAATTGATTTTTCAGATTGATTGATAGAGGGGATCGGTGGTTTTAAAGGTGGAATTGGACCAAATGAATCAAAATGGGTTAAGGTTTGTTTTTTTTGTTTTTTTTTTTTTTTTGTTTGATAATTTTTGAAAGTATTGGCCCGAGTTATGCCATTTTGAATACAATATTTAATTACAAATTGTAAAATAAAATTACTTAAGTAATAAATATTCAATTAATATATAAAATTTAATTATTTTTTTTTACAAAATCAAGTCTTCGTTATTTATTTACATCCGAGTCATTCCTTAACAATCATTTTAACTCTGTCAATTTATTTTTTTAAAAAAAACAAGTTGTATGATAATCAGAATAATACACAAGCATCGTTGCTTCGATCGAATATGTTTTTTGATAATGCTCAGCCGTTGTTAGAATCAATTGTTGGTTCACCAGCATTTAGTCCAATTAACCACAGAGTGAGTGGTAATCAAATTTGTTATATCAATAGCCTACCTAACTATTTTATTGAAGCATTTTTAAATTTTCTCCCTTGCTGTAAATATTACAGTGGCCAGTAGTGAAGCATTGTGCGGTGAATTTATGATTTGCTCTCCAAGAATATCTATTAACATGCCTACAAATGGTAATATAACTCACATATAAATTATTTATAATAGCCTTTACATTTTATTATATACAAATTTTGATTGATTTGTTGCTTTAATTTAAATTATTGATTTATTTCAATTAATGTGTTTATTATGTATTTATTTGTTTTTATTGTTTCCCAAAAATATTGCAGTTGTTAGCAAACCAAAGTAATATATAAAATTTAATTTATGTTACGAGATGCATTCATAGTTGTGTCTTTAAAGTACAAGTCATTCTATGATAATCATTTAAACATTGACATTTTTCTTTACAACCAAAGTAATATATAAAATTTAATTTATATTACGACTATCAACTCTATTACAATGTAGTATCTGTTCTATACTTTCTCAAACTACTGTAGCCCAAATTAAAGAGTCAATACCCCACCACGGGGGTTCGATCATGTGACCTTCCAGGGGAGTCACAAATGTGTCATCTAAGCACAAGGTGCTTATCATTGATATTTTTCTTTCTTTCTTTTTGTTTTTTTTTTTTTTGAAAATGAGTCGGTATTGCAATACACTGTTGGTTCTTCAACATTTTATCCAGTTAATCCAAGATTGAATGGTGAGCAAATTTTGTTTTCCAATACCTTATTATACACACCTATTTTCTTCAGTATAAAATGCAATTATAAATTACATGAATATTATTATAAATTATAAAACTATTACTATATAAATCTAATAACTATTATGCTTATTAAGCTAATAATTACATGAATATTAGTATAATTACAATTAAACATGGTATAAAAGTATAATTTCACAATATTAGTATACTTACCTAATAATTATTATGGTAATTAAGAAATTAATTACATAGATATTAGTATAATTGATTAATAATTATTATGTTAATTAAGCTAATAATTACACGGATATTAATATAATTATAATTAAACATGAGTTGTTGGATTTTTATAATAATTACAATTAATTCATTCAGATATGGTGAATGAGGAAAAACTAAATGTGATATGGTGAAAATGAATATACTTAAGGTATAAAAGTATAATTGTACATATATTGTATAATTGACTAATAATAATTTGCTTAATAATTATTATAGTAATTAAGCTAAACTTTGGTTGTTGAATTTATTTTTATAATAATAATTACAATTAAATTATTTCTCATTTTTTCAATTTTTATTTTAGTAATAATATAATATAATTACATAAATCATATTACATATTGATCTTTTTAAGATAATTGCAGACAAACGAGTCATATATTATTCAATTAATTGAGTGATACTATTGCACTAATCTTATAATCAAACAAATGTACGCGATCACTTAACGGCCATTTAACAACAATCCTAACGGCGGACCACTAGTGGTTATTTTTTAAAACCCGGAGGACGTCTCGTGGTCGTTTTAAACTCTCGGGGACCACACCTAGTAATACCCTAATACTCGGAGGACCATTGGAGGTATTAACTCGGCGTTATACTTAGCTTCGTGCTAACGAGTTTGTTTTCTACGTGTTGTTTGTTGTTAACCCCTTTCAGGTGTTACATTTTGAATACTATCAACTCTATTACAATGTAGTATCTGTTCTATACTTTCTCAAACTATTGCAGCCTAAATAAAAGAGTCAATACCCCACCACCGGGGTTCGATCCCATGACCTTCCTTCAAGGGGAGTCACAAATGTGTCATCTAAGCACAAGGTGCTTGTCATTGATATTTTTCTTTCTTTCTTTTTGTTTTTTTTTTTTGAAAGTGAGTCGGTATTGCAATACACTGTTGGTTCTTCAACATTTTATCCAGTTAATCCAAGATTGAATGGTGAGCAAATTTTGTTTTCCAATACCTTATTATACACACCTATTTTCTTCAGTATAAAATGCAATTATAAATTACATGAATATTATTATAAATTATAAAACTATTACTATATAAAATCTAATAACTATTATGCTTATTAAGCTAATAATTACATAATTAGTATAATTACAATTAAACATGGTATAAAAGTATAATTTCACAATAATTTCACAATATTTCAAAAATTCGCCAAAATACCAAAAATATTATTTAATAACTCAGCAATTTGTTCGAAACAGCTAAAAACTTAAACAACACATATATATCTTGGATTAATATTTCACAAACACCCCTAATAAATAATTTTTTTAAAAAAATTAAAATAAGAAGCCATTAAACTAAGACTTCTTAAATAAGAGCATTTTGACTTCTCAATACTTGCCCACATTGATGGGGAATCAATTACGTTTGTAAGAGGAGCATTGCTCCTTTTATATAGAGGACCTCAAGAGCTCCTATTTCCAAACATTTTCGATGTGCGATCAAATGATCTCACATCATTTACAAAGGGGAGTCATTTGTCGTCTTCTTCTTATTTTTTAATTTTAATTTTATTTTGTATGTAGTTTTGTTTGGATTATTATTATTATTATTATTATTATTTTATTATTACATTATTACATAGCATTTTTGTTATTACAATATTTACTTTTAATTATATATAGATATAGATTGTTCTATTGTATTACGAATATGAATTTTAATGTAGAATTATAGTACGAATAGGAAGGTAGGGAACAATATATTATATTAGGAATTGTATTACACTATTTTATAATATTATAATAGGAATTTTAACCTAGAATTATAGTACGAATAGGAAAGTAGAAAACAATATATTTTATTAGGAACCAAGATTTTTTAGGAATTGAGCGGAAAGTTAAAGTTAAGAATTTTGTTTTTATAGATAGTATAGATTTATTAAAATTTTATTTCAAGATTTAATTTAAAAAAATACTAACGATGAGCTTACATATAAACTTCAGGAAGTTAAATGGCTTGGACTAACGGGCTAGTCCGTTCGGACTACTAGAATTATTAGTTTCGAACTTATCGTGATTTTTCATGAGGCTATAATATTTCAAGTCTAATCCTAAAATTTTTCAGTTTTATCATGATAATCATCAGGTTCAGGCTAAGATTGACATCCTTAAATGCGAAGTTTATCCAATGCACATTCATGGGTAATGGTTGCGGGTTTCTCTCGTCACCGAAAAAAAAAATTGAGTGATGAAGAATTAGTTAATGACTATTGCAAAATGGTTGGTCATAGGAATTCTAATTCACCATTAAGAGATTTATAAGACTAGTACATTGTTTGACTTATAACATGGTGATTCGCATGCCATTCATATGTGATACAAATAGTAGACATACGAATGCTTGATAGATAACAAGTTCGTTGAATAATGACTAATTACAACGTATTGCATGTTGTTTACCTATGACTATGAGTCATAATTTGTTGGTTGTTATAAGTATGTAACAATCCTTTGACTTGAGACAACATGGTACATAAGGTGAATTAGTGTTTGTCAGTATTCTTTTTTGTATGTTTTTACAAGCATACATGATGGTCTAATTTAGTTTTGTGTAACGATATGTGTGTGTTCAATAAAAGATTTATCACCTTGAGGTAACAATGATGTTCTGGGTTATTTAGTAACTAGTTTTTCACGCGCATTGTATGAATGTATAATGTCAATGTGTATTTTTAAATAAGTATTTCAAAGTATATCAATGCAAAATTATATAGAAAATAGTCATGCATAGGTAATTGAATGTTGAAATTTGTTTATTTATGCAAAATTAGTGGTTTCATTTTAGAAGAAAGGGAGCTCTAAAGATCTACATATCGAAACTCTGCCGGAATCTCGCCAAGATATTATCTAGAACACGTCCGTCATATATCTGCGCTGAGGAACACGTCATTTGAGTACCGGAATCCCTTCTTTGAAGATCAAGCTGCATATAAGCTCTTCATCGAAGAACAAGCTACTTAACTCCAGAGGCCCTTCAGCAAGGAACTAGGACGATTCGACATACTTCTAGTAGAGAATTAGATGACTTCTCATATCCAATGAAGTATGTAACTGATATATTTTGAATTTAATATATACAATTCAAGTTTTCGAGTTTAAATAGCCTATATGGTGCATTAAGCAAAATGAGACTTGATCTCAAGTTGTGATGCGGTGGGAGTCTTCTAGTGAGTCGCGAAAGTGTTCCTTCAAATTGTGGAACTCTTATGGTGTGTTTGGTTAATGGGTTTACACACTAGGAATAAGAATAAAAATCATAATCAGTGTTTGATTGATAATTTTTTAAAACACAACTATGAGATTTAATTACCCCTTCAATTAAAAATCTCATTCCCTAATTAAAAAAGGATATCATTCCATCTTATGGTAATCTAATTTTTAAGTTTGGAGTAGTACTTTTAGATTTTTTTTTTTTTTTTTATTCTTTTTTTTGTTCATATTAATGTTTTGGATGTCATTATATTAAGATGAATTATCTTGATTTTTTGTTTTTGTATTCTTAAAACATTTATTCCCATTATAGGATTAATTACCTAAAGTCGAGAAATGGTACATTTTATAACCTTTTTTAAGCATAGCAGCGGCTGTGTACAGTGTACATAAAAAAGAGAAGTAAAGGCAATTGCTTTTGTGGTGCATATTTACAAGAACCTCATATCCTAGAGTAAGAGTTCAATGACACTATGACAGTAAAAAACAAACCCTCAACTTAGCATTGAAACCCTAAAAATTTGGACAGATTTGGCGAATACTTCCTTCCAACCAAACCCAAAAACACAGTTCCAGATATAATATTCCATTTCCACACTACATGAAGCTACGCATTAGAAACTCAAATCATCTCTTACTTGAAATGAGATCATAACTTGTATGAACGGGTGATCCGGATCTGAATCAAATGATAGCAAACTAAGTCAGATCTTCATTTGCATATATTCTGAAATATGGGATTTGTTCAAACATATGCTGTTCACATACTTTGTATAGTAAGTCCATAGAACTATCAACGAGGATCACACAATTATTCTAGTGAAAAAATAAGTACAATACAGAACTAAAATATCACGATCAGGTTGTTTATTGAAGCGTGAAAAGAATTACCTGTGCAAAGGCATAAATAGCTCGCACAATTCTAGCGTAATCTGTTCCAAGCATTTGAATAAAAACATCTGCTAGAAATGTTCCCCACAACCTATGTAAGATGCGAATATAAACACCATAATGTTAGAAAACAGTAATACCCACAAGACACAAGTAGCCATGTAATATTCCAATTGTTATATCATGAACCAGGGTGCACAATGCATTGTGCGCCATAAAAACCCTCTGTTTCGCATGTACATAATTGTATAGTAGAATACACATAAATTCCTAACATAATACACATAATCTTAACATAATATATAATACACATAAACTCTTAACGTAATACACATAAACTCTTAGGGCGCACAATGCATTGTGCACCCTGGTGCATAGTATAATTTGCCGTAATATTCTGAATGTCAATTATAATATAGTTTATAGGCAATTGAACTTCTATAGGTTATTATTTGATATCACATTTCTAATGACACTATTATACAATCTCATGGTAGGTCACAATGAGTGCACATGAGAGTAAGATCTGATGGGTAAAACACAAACTAACTGACAATAGCAGAAAACTTAAGACAGTAAAATTTCCAAAAAGAAGAGATATTACAATGGACCAAAAAATGTTGCCAAGCTCCTCAGGCCCAAGTACCTAGTAGCAGCACCTTTAACACCCTGTCAAAAATCAATAACAGATAAATAAAACAACAGCACAAAAATACTGCCTCCGTCCCATTTTATGTGTCGGGTTCGGTTAACGTCTTAACGAGGCTTGACTGAAGTTATTTACAATTTAATTTTTCATAATATTTTTAGAATTAGTATGTAAAATTTATATATTTAGGAACTACATTAAAAGTACTATTAAACACAGAAAATCAAATTTAAAAATTTTAATAAAATGCTAATAGAAATAAGCAAAAAAGAAAGAGTTGGTTTTGCCAATGAATAGTAACTAGGACAAATAAAATGGGATAGAGGGAGTATTTTAAAACTATTAGCTGTCATCAAATTTACAGATACTCTGTAATACATTATAAGGTAAAATTGCACTTTACTAAATAAGGTTTGTAGTTGAAGGTAAGGTGGAAGTGGACGGCTGAGAAAGGGACAGAGATTCTAATACAGTTTTCCTTTTTCAATAATGTATTCTTTTAATTATATTTTCTCTTTTCTTTTCCATTTTGGAAAGGTAGACAGTACTCAAACACCTAATCATTATGTACACGGATTTTCCAGCCACTGGTTTGGGGGGTTGGGGGGTAGGGGTGATAATAATTACCGAAAAACCGATAAAATCTTTACAAAATCGTGAAGATACGATTGAGCATGTTTATTAGCTAGAATAGTTGATTACTTGACTCAATAGTGGACCAAATTATTGTGCAGCACTGCCACTTCTATAGTACTATATCAAAGCATAATAGCAATTTTCTTCTGAAGATAAAAACACCTGTTTTGCAACAAGGTAGGCTAGCCTGGCCTCCAGGTTAACAGCTGCCAATTCTCCACCCTGAAAATAAAGTATGGCAGGAGCAATACGTAGTTAAAGAAACAATCTCAAAGAAATTACAACTCTTTGGGTTAGTTTAGAAACTAGCAAATTCAGCAGAAGTCTGTCTTCCGCTCAAAATAAACTATGTACTAAATTGGAAAATGGAAAACTATTTTCCAACTTAAGAATAGAAATTAAAAAACATAGAAAAGATTTTTTTTCCAAATGTATAAGCATTTACAAGTTTTCATTTATGGCCACTACTAAAATGATCTACTAATCTCATCTAGTAGCTCCCCACACAAATATGAACCTACCTCACCGGCTCACTGCCACCCCAACCTACCTACTATGAAACTACAAACTTTAACTGCCACTACTACTATTGCAATCACTGCTTATGGCTTACCTCAATTTATCACTATGTATTATCTACCTGGCTCTTTTCTTAACCCTACCTACCCCCATATTCACTAATCACTATATATGGTACAACCATTGCCTTTATGGGCATGACAGGGGAGTGGGAACTACAGATAGTGGGTGAAGGGGAAGGAAACATGCATCAGTTTGGGACTAAAAGTTGAGAACATGCTTGAGAAGTAATCAATATTGTTAAGTAATTAATTATATCTCTGTTATCATATTATTATAACCACTTACTTCCATCCATACTACATACCTATTAACCCGCTTTCACCTTCCTGCCTACCTACTTAACCCCAAAACCATTACCACTACTATCAGCACTTATTTCCTGCAACTACTATTGTTAAGAGTCCCACATTGAAAAAATAAGAGAGAACATATGGGTTTATAAGGTCATGGGTTAGACTAGCTAATTGATTAGCCCAGTTGAGTGACTTTGGCCCAATCTTAGATTATAACATGATGTCGTTGTCTACCAGTGGTAATTGATTGGATTCAGTCTTTTAGTGTGGTTTGACCCATGTGCATTATAGCCCGGTTGAGTGACGTACCTCGCACACCCACTAGCCCCACCTACATACCCTCACCACCACCTCCACTACTCAACAAAAAATTCATTTGACCACTCATAGAAGTACTTTTATAAAAGAATCAATCAAATTCAAATAATTTTATATTTTATAAACTAAGTAATTGAACTAAACATGCTTTTTTCTAGTTTTCCAACAAAACTTGAAAAGTTACAGGGGATGAAATTTAAAATAATAATAAATAAATAAATAACATTGTCACTAAAAAGACCCTAAAATTTTCTGAGATATAATCAACTAAAAATTATTTTTTGCATATGAGCAACATCTGGTTATCAAATCATAGCAAAACAAAACTGAATCAGAAGTGGTCACAGACAACACTATCTAATTAAATGCACAATAGCATATACACCCAACAAAGAGAACAATACTACTAAACCAAGAGCACTGTAAGTTGCATCAAAGTTCAAAATTGAATACTTGGGAATGTATAGAAAACTGAACCAAAGATATGTAATACCAGATAATATCATCACTAGACCAATTTTATGTACCTTCTTGAGGAGTTCCTTTTGCACCCCATATTTGGCAACTTCCACCATACATTTTCCAAATAATCTCTTAGTTAACTACCATAACAAGGCAAATCCCAGAGGGTCAGACGAAAGAGAGCAGAAAAATGGAAAGAAGTACAACATTCACATGGAATCATTTTTTACCAATTTGTAGATTCCCCCTAATGTTAGCATCCCACCGCCCTAAATCATAAAAAGTACATTACATAAAACCAGACATGGGCATGAGAAAATCAAATGGCAAATGAAAAGAAAATAAACCCTTAGTATCATTGTGCCAAGCTGCCCTTGCCCTCCTTTTAAAGCAGCATCAGCCTGAATCTTCCATTGACTAAGCCCAAATTCTAGACTCTCATTCTCATCGGGGTCATTCGCCCTATCCATTGAACTGTGGCAGGTTCCAAATAATTCAACATTGAAAAGTCACAAATTTATCCAAAAACCAAAAAGATGTCACAGTAACAGAAGGCCTGGCAGGTGGAGAATAACAACCACCCACCAGTTAGGCGGAAGCAAAGATGAAGAATAAATGTATATAAGACTGAAAGATTACAATATATTAGTATGATTCTATGTTTCTAATGAAGAAACATAGTACATGTATATATATATATATATATATATATATATATATAGGGTCAGGTTCCTGTGAGGTCAGGTCTTCCCGTGCGGTCAGTGCGGCATACACCATTAGGTATGCATAAATGCACCACACAGTGTTCGTAAATACACTATGTGTGGTGTATTTTTTTTTTTTTTGTGTGGTGCATTTTTTGGCATTTCATTCTGGTGTATTTTCGAACACTGTATGGTGCATTTATGCATACCTAATGGTGTATGCCGCACTGACCGCACGGGAAGACCTGACCTCACAAGAACCAAAATCTATATATATATATATATATATATAGAATTAAGTTCCAGTGCATTTAAGTGTTTCGCATGCGGTTGTGCGGTTTTAACGTGCGTCAGTTTTGTACTTCAAGTGCGAAAGTCTTGTGCTTAATGTGCGTGAGGTTTGTGCTTAATGTGTGTGGGTTTGTGTTTAATGTGAGTTGTTGTTGAAACTTAAGTGAAGTGAGTTTTGTGCTTACGGTGCACGAGTTTTGTGCTTAACATGCGTGAGTTTTGTGCTTAACGTGCGTGGGTTTGTGTTCTGAAGGTGTTTTGTTTGTGTGCTTAATGTGCGTGTGTTGTGTACTTAAAGTGCGTCAATTAATGCTTAATGTGCGTCCAACCGCAAGGGAAGCCCCCTCCCGCACCTGAACCCTTCCCTATATATATATATATATATATATATATATATATATATATATATATATATATATATATATATATATATATATATATATATATACACACACACACACACATACATATAACTGTTAATTTAAAATTTAAACACCTATTCATAAACAGACACCTATTTATAAACATACAACCTATAGACAGACATAATCCTTTGGTTTTCAACAGAAACAAACAATAGCCTCACTTTATCCATTGTTAAAGTTTCTCCAAGAGAGACAGTTGAAGGATTACCTCGAATATTCCTGTAATAGATGAAGAAAAATCTCTGCTTCCAAGTCTTCAGCAGACAATTTGGTTGAACAACGTATATTTAATTTTTTCCTTACATTAAGCAATACATCCCTATATGATGGTCTTCGACCCCTAATAAAGAATGATGATTATATCAAACAAAGTTCATAACATAATTCACTCACTAGTGGTGGATCACTATTTACATCAAGCTAGATAAAATTGTCAGGCGGCTTCACCTTTTTTTTTTTTTTTTTTTTTTTTACATTTAACCAGGTATAAATCTTTCATTCTGTGGTACAAATAATTTGGATTCTTTGTAATCCAAAGCAGTCAAAACATATTAGGATGGGTTACGCATTTTGCTGGGGTTAACTCTAATGGGCCATTGTGTTGGTGGCTTGGTGCATCTACATGTACTTGGGATGCACTGCCTTGGTGCTTTTAATATAATTACTTATATATCAAAAAAACTTCTAATTTGTTTCAAACAATAGTTCTTTGATGAAGGCTGAATCAACCACTTGATTTAGTTAGGATTAATAATTCACAGCTAAGCTCTATTGTATTGATATAAATCTGGAATTAAAAAAATAATAATAAATAAATAAATAAATAAATAAATAAATAAAGGAAAATAAAGATAAAAGATAAGCATAGAAGTGTGTAGAAAAACAGAGAGAGAGAGAGAGAGAGAGAGAGAGAGAGAGAGAGAGAGAGTTTTTTATTTGTTATAGAATCTGCTAAATTTGAGACTACTTTAAACTACATTTGTAATGACTCTTTGATCTCAAGAAGTATGCTTAAACAATGGGCTAATGAGAATTTATATTTAAAATAATAAAAGCTCTAACAAATCTTGTTTCTCCTCAATTTTGTATAACCGCTTCATAACTTTTACGGATATATACACTTCTTAACAAGGGTTGCGCTCCCTAGATGCCTCTAATGAAATTATTTAATAATTATGAAATTGATAAAATAATGACCAACTGTAAATGCATCATGGAACTATCTCACGACATCAAGACTAAGAAAAAGGCAAACCTCAAAGTAGATCGAGCATCAGCAGCAAGGTATAGAAATCTCGACTCAAGCATGGACATAAATTCTTCCCTCTTCTCCAAGTCTTCCTCAATCATAGCAAAATCAACATCTGCTCTCTTTGTTATTGACTTCAACAATGGACTCAAGTAACTGAACCATAACATAATAGCAAAACTTTTAAAATTATTTAGGTGACTGTCTAATAATTAATTTTTAAAAATTACAAAATAAATGAATTTTGTATAATTAGAGATATTAGCTATCAAAATTTCCACACAAAACAACTGTAGTCCTATAAGCAATGCAATATTTGATGCATGAATGTTGAACTAAATCCATCTGTAGTGCTACTAATATTTTTAGTTATATCAATACTTGCAACAACTGAAATATGAGCCAATTAATTATTTGTTAAAAATTAATAAGGTATAAGCAAGAAAGGTATCTTATACTAGTACACATGTCACAAGATGGTTATAATTTATCATTGATAAGCTATGTGAATGTAGGCATAAACCAACAGTATAAGATGAGAAGTTGAAAAAGAACCTTGGGCCAAATAGAATCCTTTCAAGTTCATACAACTCAGAATCTGTTGCAAGTTCAAGAACAGCTCGAATTTCTGGATCTAATGTATCCCCGATGCTAATGGTGCTAGCCCCTACAAAAGCATCAAAGGAATTGCTTTACAATCTAAGTAGCCTATAACATGTAATAATCCAAAACTAAAATCTCAATGGAACTGTTTCTACATAACATACACCTTGGTGTTTACCCTTAACTGCATAAAATCGGTAACTTGACATTGGTCTTACAACAATGCGCTTGTGCTGATTTAGCTCCAAAAGCTGTAAAATGCATTTGTACCCAAAATAATAATAATAATAATAATAATAATAATAATAATAATAATAATAATAATAAATTATGTCCTATTACACTGAATTTTGATTGTTTGAATCAAATTACATTGCAGAATATAGGTAGATATGCAATTCAAGAAAGGAAAGGCTGTATTAAATTTGTAGAGATAGGTAATAGAAGCTGCTTACTGGGAGAGAGTAGAGTTGAGTTGGATGGGATAGGAACTGGAACTGCCGTTGGTAATAGAATGTTGATGCCATTGTGATAGTGGTCATGGTTGCCATCATGCCCATGGATACAGTAGGCCAGTAGAGTAACATATGTGTGCAAGTGTGCAGTGGCAGCTTCACAGCTTCCTTCAACTCTGCTGTGTAAACCTACACCCACACTATCTATCTCCTCTATGGTCAATAAACCAGCTACTCTACTAGGGACACCACTCTCTATAGTCCTAAAAATAAAATCAATCTAAAATTTTAAAATTTTGAGGTGTAAATCAAGAGTGTGAAGAATGAAACAGGTAGGTCATATTCTTAAAAAATGGAGAAATTTTAGGATGCTAAATTCATGAGTTGTAAATAGCAGCCAACATTCATACACAAGTTGTGATGGTAAAATTGGACTCACAATCCACTCTAATGTCCATAAGTCTGAAACTGAATGTCTCAGACTACAAAAAACTTCACTAACTAAATTCAATGACAGACACTGGAATTTTATTCAATGGAGTTGAAAAGTAATGAACATCTCTAAAAATCCAAACAGTTCAAATACAAAATGGTTCAAAAAAAAAACATTAAAATTAAAATAATATTAAATTGGGAATGACAAGTAAACTAACTTATATCATCAATTAATTCTGCAATGTCACAATATGCTACTTGCTAAGTTGGAAAGTAAAAGTGGGAAAATGTAATCTAGAATTACTAATAAAGATAGAATAGAGTTTATAGAAAACAAAAGAAGCAGAAGCAAGAGATGCATAGGAAATAAGATTGAGAGCTACAATTCTTCCCCGCTGTGACAGTCATGAACGGTCACAAGTTTAGTCTTACAAAGAAGAATCAACATAAAATCTAGTCAAATCAAGAGATTGTTTCTCAAATTGGAACAAATCAATGGTAAAACAGCTCCAAGAAATCTCAAGTAAAAGTAGAAGCAAGTATTCAGAAAAGAACAAAAACTTGTTGAATCTTCCACCATTGATGCTTATAGTTTATCATACACAGTTAATCCACAGAAGATGAGAATAAGACTATTTAACATATGGCCCCTATAGATGTCATTACTAAAGCTTAATTAAAACTAAAAAACACACCATTTACATGCATATTGAGTATGCATCACTTTGCTAGACAGAATTGGCATAAGAAGTCTAGCGACTCCAAAGAAACACATTCAAAAATCAGGAAAAAACAGCAAAATTCAGGGGAAAAAAATAAATGCACATCAATACACATTGGAATTGTGTAAACACGTCTGTACTCCATCAAGCTATACTAAATTGTTCTCATAAAGAAGCAGTATTGATCTGAAAATGCAAAGGGTAAGAATGGGTGGTTGTTCTGGGGAAGTAACAAGTAGTAGCAGAAAATGATTCGACACTTCTAGTTACTTGATAGTCTCCATTAATACAAGCGTGTTGTAAATATTGTTATTTAGGGGAAAATATGATGGGCACAAATAAATAAATAAATAAATAATAGAAGAATCAAATTGCGGCTGTGAATTCAATTGAAGATGATAAGCCTAACCTGGAGGCAGCATGAGCTTAAGCATGGTGGTCAAGCACTCATAGCATTTTAGTGTTAAGCTGGAAATTGGAATGCAAAATGCAATCATTTCAGCCTTTCAGGGAAGTCGGGGCAATGTTGTGATACGGATTACGGGCTGTGCCCATGGAACCCAGCCCAATAACTTACAAAGTTTCAAAAATTATTAATTGGAAAAATGGTCTAAACTCTAAAGTAGGATGTCAATGCGGGCCGGCCCAATAACTTACCAGTTATTAAATTTCATTTTATATACACTGTAGTCTTATTACAACATCACTAAATTACTACGGTTTCATTGGACAATATACACTCAAATAAATGAAACTGTTATTCAGTTTCATATTTTCATTTTATATACACTGTAGTTTCATTACAACACAACTAAGGCATCATTTTGATATAACTACAGTTTCATTTGACAACATACACTCAATATGAGAGACATGTTATTGAGTTTCTTTTTATACATACTGTAGTTTCACTTTAGCACAACTAAAGTATCATTTGAATTCAACTACAGTTTCATTTGACAATAATACAATATGCACTCAATATATGAGACATGTTATTCAATTTTATTTTATACATATAGTTTCATTTTATAATATAAACACAATATGTGAGACAAGTTATTTAGTTTCATTTTCGATACATTATAACTTATTTTTGTTCTGAACACACTAAAAATACAAAATTTGTTAAATATAACGATCGTCGTTTCTTTATTTAAAGAAATGATGTCATTTCGGATCATGGTCCATCGTATAACAATTGTTCTTTGATGGGATGGATCTTGTATAGTTAGGCCCACTATGTTTAATTGGATAGATCGTGGTCAATAGAGCAGCCATGGACCAGGTAAAAAACAGTGTTGCTTTAAGTTTTCACGTTAACAGTGATGGACTACAAATTCTATTATGATCCATATAGCAACGTAACCAATCATTATTGCATGGACCAGGTTCACATAATTGTGTAGATCATAAATAAAAAGTACATTTTTAATATACTAATAGTATATTATTTATGTACGTAAGGTACATTTTTGAAAGTATATTTTTAATATACTAAGGGTATTTTATATAATATACCTTCAATACAAAAATAATGTACTTTTAATATATTAAAAATGTACCTGATATTTATGATCCATACAATTGTGTGGATCATGGTCCACAATAATTTGCCCAACGCAACCTCTCTCATTATTTAGTTTTATTTTATACACATTGTAGTTTCATTATAACATTACTAAAAGAGTTTTTTGCACTTTTGGTCCCACGACTATGGTGTCACTAACAACTTTGATCCACGACTTTTGAAACTTGTAAAATTGGTCCACGACTATGACTTTCTTAGCAAATTTGGTCCTTTCAGTACATTTTTGGTTCAATTTTTACCGAAAAATTTTACTCTCCATTTTAACATGAGTAATGAGTAATATTGTCTTTTCCATCTCACATTTTCTGTTAATATGGGCAAATTCATCATCCTCCCCATTTTAATTTCCGTTAGACAAAGGTTGTCACTAACAACATTATTTATTTATGTCATTAGTTTGTGAGATGGAAAAGACAATATTACCCATGTTAAAATGGGGAGTAAATTTTTTTTGATAAAAATTGAACGAAAAATGCACCGGAATGACCAAATTTGCTAAGAAAGTCATAGTCGTGGACCAGTTCTACAAGTTTAAAAGTCATGAATCAAAATTGTTAGTGACACCATAGTCGTGGGACCAAAAGTGCAAAAAACTTCTACTAAAATATTATTCTAATTCAATACAGTTTCATTTGACAATATACACTCAATATGTGAGATTTGCTATTCGGTTTCATTCTATACACAATGTGTATCATTCTTATTAAACTACAATTTCATTTTACAATATACATTCAGTATGTGAGATCTACTATTTAGTTTCATTTTATATACATTATAGTTTCATTATAGTACTACTAAAGTATGATTCTAATTCAACTACAGTTTCATTTGACAATATACGCATAGTATGTTAGAATTGTTATTCAGTTTCATTTTATACACAATAATGGAGTTTCATTACGGCACTACTAAAGTATCATTTCTATTAAACTACAGTTTCATTCGACAATATACATTCAATATGTGAGACATGTTATTCAGTTTCATTTTATACACATGTAGTTTCATTATATTACAACACCACTAAAGTATCATTCTAATTCAACTACAATTTCATTTGACAATACAAACTCAATATGTGAGACTTGCTATTTAATTTCATTTCATACACATTGTAGTTTCATTACGATATCGTAAAAAAAATAAACATATCATAGAACATAACGAACTAACGGCTGTCATTTCTTTTCATTAAAAGAAAATGCGCACATTTTGAACCATGATTCGGCCACTATATAATGATATATAGTTCCATCTTATACTTCTTTTTATAAGACATAAGATTTATATATGACAAATTATACTGTGGACCATAAATAAATATTTATTTTTAATATACTAAAGATACATTATTTATTTATTAAAGGTTCATTATTTGGTCATATACAAAATAATGAAAATTTAATATTCAAATAATATATCTTTAAAAAATGAATATTTGCAGGGCGTTTGATTGGAAGGAATTTAAATTTCCTTCCCACCTAATTTCAAAGGTTATAAAATTCCTTAGTTTGGTTGGAAGGAATTGCAGTTCCATGAATTTGCAATTCCCCAATTTTCATGGAATTAAAATCCCATGTCCCCCTGAGATTTTAATTCCTGAGATTTTAGGAAGAAAAAAGCTAGTGATGAGATAAAATTACTTCTCCCTTTTTTAATATAAAATTAATACCACAACAACAATGGACATTTTGGACTTTATACTACCTATTCCCTTTCAATTCTCAAGTATACCAAAAACATTGGAATTGAAATTCTCAGTAATTTTATTCATGTAAACCAAACACTAGAATTTAAATTACACTTTATTCTCAGTAATTCGTCTCCCATGAAATTGCAATTCCTTTCCCACGTAATTCCCCCCTCCAACCAAACACCATGTTAAGTGTATTAAAAATGTACCTTATGTCAGTAATCCACCTTATAAGGTGGACCGTAGTCATGGTATAATGATTGATATATTATTGAACAATGCTAGATGTCTCTACACAAATCACTAGTTTTTGTCACTACCTGATGTGTCAATTTGTAATAAGTTGGGATTTAAAATAAAATGAGAAAATTGCAATTTACATCCATAAGTTAAAGGTAATTGTATAATTTGTCCCTATTTGTTAGTCGTGTTCACTCTTCGTTCTTAAGCTAAAACAAACATTACAAGTTTCATCCTTTTTTCTAACAAACATTATGAACGAATTTGCAACGTCAGTTATAACTTAGGGACGATAAGTGAGCACGTCCGATTAGAAAAATGACAAAATTTACAACGATAATTATAGTTTAGGGACGATAAGTGAGCACGACCAACAAATAGTAACGATTAAATCCTAAAATTATCATATAACTTAGGAACGAAAAATGCAATTTTTTCAAATAAAATTTAAAAACACCATGCAAAACTAGTCGCATCAGGGAAAAAAAAACTTGTGTTATTTTTGTAGGAGTAGAAATATCATTAAAATCCTATATATAAAGAGGGAGGGATGGGTTATATCTTTAAGCATTTGATCCTTAAAGAAAAAAAAAAAAAAGAAAAGAAAAAAAAACTAAGCATTTGACCCCGAAATCCTTCCTTTATGATCAAACTGAATCTCCACAAACTTACCAAATCGATTGCAATTTTAAACTTTTGTTTTAAAAAATAAATTTATAATTACTCAAAAAAATGTAGAAGGAATGACAGCTAGAAAGTGCTATAAGAACGCAATACATGAAAATTTTAAATAATTCATTCTATTTAGTGTTTTTTTTTTTTAAATTGTCAAATGCTTAGTAGGATAATAATAATAATAAAAGTAAAATTAAAATATACACATGGCATCCTAATAAGCAAAAACTTGTTGGTAACCTACTAAAAATGCTAATTGCACTTTTTTTCTCTAAGTTCATGAATCAATTTGGAGCTTATTCGAGTTCGATCGATGGTTTAATTGCTATTCTCCAAATAGTTCAATGGCCTATTTGTACATTTTCCCTACTTTTTAATCCAAATTGCTTGTATATTATACTTTATTATGTAAGGCCCGACCGCATGAGAACAAACATTCATGTGAGAAGTGTGAATAAATGCTAATTATCGATCTAGTAGATATAACAATTGAAAAATAAATACAAATAAGAAAAAAAAATCGGGTCAATTTAATAAATATTACACACTTTCAGAGTTTGTAATATTTATGAAATTGATCCCGTTTTCTAGCTATTGATTAGCCTAAATGGACGGATCAAAATAGTTAACATTTTTCACACGAAGCCTAATTTTCATTTCATCCTAATTGTGTGGTGTGTATAGATACACACACTTTGCCTTGGATTGAATGGTCTGTGTGGGTAAATGTTGCAAGCTTCTAGTGCATTCATTTATAACCTTTGTAATCATGCTATGAATGCCAAGTTGATGCAATTTAGGTTCAAGTTGGTCCAACTAGCTTAATTATTATTACTCCCCAGTCCCGGGCCTATGTCATTTATTTTTCCTTATCTTTGTGGCACTGACATTAGTCTGTCCCATTTCAATAATAGTTAATGATAAATTCATCTTTTATCATTTTCTTTACATGATTCGAATGACACCAGAATAATTAAACGTACAAACGAGGTAATTGAATTTTAATTCAATAATAAGGTGTAAAACTCATTAACGTGCATATTAGTCTTCTTAATTTGAATTAGTGTGCATATTAGTCTTCTTGATTTGAATCAATCAGCTATAAGCAACCTAGTCTGATTTACGTCTTTGTGATCTTTTAGTAAATATGGTCATAGTGTGAGTTTACCTAATGCACACCTTCAAATAGTATTGTGAGTTTTCTCTCGTTACTTAAAAAAAAAAAAAAAAAAAAAAAACTCATTATTAACTAACGTAACCAAATACCCCTTAGTTTTATTGAATCAGTACCATTCAAATGCGATGACACCAGACTAACA